CTCCTCGTACTTAACAGGTGTGAACAGAACAAAAATGGCTCAAGAAGATCTCAAAGCCCCAGAGCCTATAAATCTAAGTGATGAAGAAATAGCAAAACTCTCAGACGTACAGTTCAAAACACTGGTGATCAGGATCCTCACAGAACTGGTTGATTATACCCACAAATTAGATATACATATGAAGGCGAAATTGATTGAAATGAATGGAATTACACAGGAAATCAATAGCAATGAAAAGGAAATTGGGTCTCAAATCAATGGAGTGGACCAGAAGAAAGTAAATAATGGCCAAACAGAAAAGAGTCAAGAAGCAAGAATTCAAAAAAATGAGGAGAGTCTTAGGAACCTCCAGGACATCTTGAAATGCTCCAACATCCGAATTATAGGGGGTACCAGAAGGGGAAAGGCACAGCCACCAGTGGAAAACTTATTTGAACAAATAATAAAGGAGAATTTCCCCAATCTGGCAAAGGAAATACACTTCCAGGAAATCCAGGAAGCTCAGAGAGTCCCAAAGAAGTTGGACCCAAGAAGAAACACACCAAAGCACATCATCATTACATTAGCCAAGATTAAAATGAAGGAGAGAATCCTAGAAGCAGCAAGAGCTAAGGGGACAGTCACCTACAAAGGAGTCCCCATCAGACTGTCAGCAGATTTCTCAGAAGAGACCTTACAGGCAAGAAGGGGCTGGAAAGAGGTATTCCAAGTCATGAAATCCAAAGACCTACAACCAGGATTGCTCTATCCAGCAATACTTTCATTTAGAATGGAAAGACAGATAAAGTGCTTCTCAGATAAGATCAAATTCAAGGAGTTCATCATTACCAAGCCCTTATTATATGAAATGCTAAAGAGACTTATCTAAGAAAAAGAAGTTAAAGAAACATGAACAGTGAAAGGACAGAGGGGGCAAACTCACAGTTATTAATAAAAAAGCAACCACACCTAAAACAAAAGCAAACTAAAAGGACAGCTAGATCAGGAGCAGAACCATAGAAATGAAGATCACATGGAAGGTTAGCAACAGGGGAGTGGGAGGAGGAGAAGGGGGGAGAAGGTGCAGAAAATAAGTAGCATAGACAGTAGATAGAAAATAGATGGGGGGGGCAAGAATAGTATGGGAAATACAGAATCTAAAGAACTTGAGACACATGGTCATAAACTAAAGGGGGGTAATGGTGGGGATGGGGGGTAGGGTGAAGGGGAATTGGGGGGCGGGGGGAAAGAAGAAGGGGGGAATAGAACAACTGTAATGGCATAATCAATAAAAATAAATAAATAATTTTTAAAAAACCTCACAAAAAAAAAAGAAAAATAAATAGAACAGAGCTTCACTGTCCTTTGAGGTGTGATATTGTCTGTTACCCATCGCCAACGCCTTACCCACCTTTGGGAATCCCTGGACCCTGCTGCGGCTGGACCGCAGGTACCAAGTCATGATAGGCAAGGACCTACATCCAAGATTGTTTTATCCAGCAAAGCTTTCAGTTAGAATGGAAGGGCAGATAAAGTGCTTCTCAGATAAGGTCAAGCTAAAGGAGTTCATCATCACCAAGTCCTTATTTTATGAAATGTTAAAGGGAGTTATCTAAGAAAAAGAAGATAAAAAAATATAAACAGTAAAAAGACAGCAAATTCACCTAAACAACCACACCTAAAACAAAAACAAACAACTAGAACAAGAATAGAACCACAGAAATGGAGATCACATGGAGGGTTATCAACAGGGGAGTGTGAGGGGGAGAGGGGGGGAAAGGTACAGAGAATAAGTAGCATAAATGGTAGGTAGAAAATAAACAGGGGGAGGGTAAGAATAGTATGGGAAATGTAGAAGCCAAAGAACTTATATGTATGACGCATGGACATGAACTAAAGTGGGGGAATGTGGGTGGGAGGGGGTGTGCAGGGTGGAAGGGAGTGAAGGGGGGAAAATGAGACAACTGTAATAGCATAATCAATAAAGTACATTTAAAAAATAAAAAAGCTTTTTGGTTTGCACATAACATTTATGATATGATGCATAAAAATGTATATCATTTTATCTATTTTAAGGTGAAAATTCAGTGGCATTAAATACATTTATACTATCACCATTTGAAATTATAATATCTTCAACTTGCAGAATGCACTTATTTGCTCATATTCTGGTTATCTTTGGTGTTAGTGTTATGACACCACTAAGACATATTTTTGCAAGAATAATTAAAAAGAAAACATTTTGTTTGCAGTTTATTTCCTATAGTACACAGCGCACGAGGCTGTAAATGCTCAACAAAAAATGTATGGGGAGAAAAAGAGCAAAATCGTTTTGTTGTTGTTATATTCCTATACAGGCCACCTTTATTTACTTATTTTTAATTTAAATTTTTTTCAATGAACAGTTTCATTCCATATTATTTTGTATTCATTTCAGGGGTACAGCATGGTGGTTAGACAATTATATGCTCTACAGAGTGTTCTTCCCCTTGAGAGTTCCAGGGCCCACCTGGCAGCATCTACAGTTATTACAACAAAGTCTTGTTTATTAGGATGATTGCTTTTTAGAAGGAAGGAGTGGAATGTAAATACAGTTTGTTAAACATGAGGTGCATCTCTAACCTGAAACCTCCTTAGGCTTCCAGAGTCCAGCTCTCCTTCCAAAGTTGAGTAGTGGGCAGGAAAGAGTACCCTCCTGTTTCAAACTGTTTACAGTTCATACTGAAAACTCATTAATAGTAGGTCAGTTATCTGGCAAAGGAAGTGTCAGGGAGTGTGTTTAGCCGTGTTTTGATTAAGGGAACTTCTTTCTGTTATACATGCATGTGTATGTGTGAGCATTCAGGGACCAGTGAGGCTGCTCTAACATGTTAATGCTGAAGAAATCAGACATGTTTTGGTTGAAAAAGTAATCCTTCCTGTAAGCTGGAAAGATGTGAATGTTTTGCAGACGAACCTCAGTATGTCCTTAAAAGGGAACTGACAAAAGCATCAACAATATGAATCCGGCTGGTGCATCTCTGCACACCACACCCCTCTCCTTTCCTGCGGCGTGAATAAAAACTCACTCCCGGCTTCTTCACTCTGGCACCTTCAATAACCAGGTCCAAGCAGCCTTCCGCGAGCCCCGTGACACCTGGAGGTTGTCATTGCAGGGGTCTGCAGCGTGGGAGCTCCTGTCTGCAGACTGCACAGGGAAGAAGTGGAACGGCCCGGCACCAAGTCAGAGAGCCCTGTACCAGAACAGCATGCTGGAAACTTACTGCAGCGTGGCCTCACTGGGTAATGAGTCTGTGCCCGGGAACCTAGCAGCTGCAGCCTTCACGTTGTCTTTGCTTTATTTCTCTTCTGTTTTGACTTTTCATTCTGAAGAGTCGCCTGCATAGACAAAGCAGAACAGTATGATGACCCTCTCTGCACCCATCACCCAGCTGTAACACTTGTGGCCATTCTCTTTACTTCATTGTGAATTGAGCTGGGGTGGTTTACTTGGAGTTTGTATTTATAAGGAATAGAGACCCACTCAAGTGACTTTAAGTAATGAGCTACATTACTTAGAATAAGGCTAAAGGGACGGGAAACTTGTACAAACTGACTGGCTAGACCAGACTTTGGGAAGCAGGGTCTTGTTGAGCCTGGGAGCTTCAGCAACAAATGAAAATGAATTTTAATGCTACTGTTGTTCTGGGAGTGTAACTTAGCTGCTCCCTGCACATCTGCTTTCTCTTTTTAGTGATTGTGGTTCTTCTTCATGGGATTAGCTGGGTTCCTTGGCCCAAGCATGGTTGCCTCAGCTTCCCTATGAGAGAAGACTGGGGTTTGATAGTTTCCTGGAAGGAAATGTTGTGGGTTAGGTTCTTTGAATGACAGGTCTAGGAAAGCAGTAAACTCTGGAGAAGTGGGCTGAGGAGTCATTTTAGTCTCAGTCAAGGGGCCAGAGATCTTTAACTTTCCATGCACTAAAATGGTATAAAGGCTGTGGTTCTGTTTAAGAAAAAATGAACCAAAATTTTTGTATTGAGATGACTGTGCTACTCTGCCTTCGACTTGCTTTTATATTTAAAAATTCTAGAATTAAAAAGCAAATATTCAATTGTTCAGTTTCCTTATGATTCCATACTATCAAGATATCAAAGACATAATTTGATTTATAGTTCAAGTTACTGAACTCACACTGGGGAGAAACCTTATGAATGCAATGAATGTGGAGTGGCCGTCACCAGTCCAGTTCTACAGTGTCTCCAGGAGCCCTGGTCCCAGAGCTCTGCTGTCTCTGTTAATACTCCCAAACCCATGGCTTCTCAAAACCTTGTCACTGTCCTGTCATATCTGAATCACTCCTTTTTTACATTTTTTTCTAATTATACCCTCAGTAATGGAAATCTCCCTTCCACTGTCATGTTTGCCCATGCTATGTCTTATATTTAAGTTGAGGTGTTTGCTCTCACTCTCCCCAATGTCTTTGTTAAGAATCATGGAACTATGTAGTATCATAGTTCTTAAAGATCTTAAGAAATTATCATTTGCAAAGGACACAGAGTATCACAGCGACTTCGGGAAGGTCAAACAAGCTTTGCATCTTGTCTTTCTCCTGCTTTTCAATTGCCAGCCTCACTTGGCCGTGCTGACTCACCATGTGTCTGTCATAACGACTCCTCCTTATTCACCCTCCTCACCAACCTTCCCCACCTTTGTCTTTCTGACCATGAACAAAAATTTGAGCCATTTTTCATTTTCTTTCTTGTTCTCGATGCATCACCTCATTCCTTGCCCATAATGTGAAGGCTTTTTCAGGTACATGGACTCCTGATGATTCTGATCTCTCAGTAGGACAAGAAGTAAGTAAAAGCTTTTTTTCTTCTTTCTTTTGGCATCAGGTGAGATTAAGATGGAGAATTCAGAGTTGCCTCCAGGGCAGGAAATGTCTAAAAGATCGGGGTCATCTGCTGGGACACCAGGAGGCCTCTATGGGGTGGATCCTGGGGCACCAGGAGCTGGAATTGTCTGTGCAGATGCTGTAGGGAAGCTGGAGTGAATTCATACATTCACTGTATGAATGCAGTGACTGTGGGGAGACCTTCATTCACAGTAAAAGTCTTGTCCAACATCAGGTGCTTCACACTGGGGAGAAACCCTACAAGTGTAAGGAGTGTGGGAAAGCTTTCTGTTCTAATAGAAATCTTATTGACCATCAGAGAATTCACACCGGGGAGAAGCCTTATGAGTGTTTTGAATGTGGCAAGGCCTTCAGTCGTAACAAATGTCTTACTCGACATCAAAGCCTCCACACTGGGGAAAAGCCTTACAAATGTAGGGAGTGTGGGAAAGCCTTCAATCAGAACTCTCAGCTTGCCGACCATGAGCGAATTCATACTGGAGAAAAACCTTTTGAATGCAATGAGTGTGGTAAGGCATTCAGCCTGAGTAAATGTCTTATTCGACACCAGAGACTTCACACAGGTGAAAAGCCCTATAAATGCAATGAGTGTGGAAAATCCTTCAATCAAAACTCACACCTCATCATACACCAGAGAATTCACACTGGCGAGAAACCTTATGAATGTACTGAGTGTGGGAAGGTCTTCAGTTACAGCTCCAGTCTGATGGTACATCAGAGAACTCATACTGGGGAGAAACCCTATAAATGCCATGATTGTGGGAAAGCCTTTAGTGACAGCTCACAACTGATTGTGCACCAGAGAGTTCACACTGGTGAGAAACCCTATGAATGCGGTGAGTGTGGGAAAGCCTTCAGTCAGCGTTCCACTTTTAACCACCACCAGCGAACTCACACTGGAGAGAAGCACTCAGGTCTGGCTCAGTCAGCTTCCTGAGTTGAGAGCAAGGCACTTGGAATTAAGCTTTCTTTGTAAGAAGGGTGTTTACTCTGTTCCCCTCCAGGAGCCACTAGTGAAAGTGGGCCGTCCTCTGAGTGCTGTGTGCTGGGTCATGAGGGTGGGGGAGTGGGGAACAGTGCATCCCCTGCCCACCATTGTGGACGGACAGACTACACATTTTATGCACTTGTAGGGTTTTCCTTTTTTTTTCCTGTTTTAAAATATATTTTATTTCTTTGTTATGCATCCCATAATTGGACTGTGTGCTTCCCAGGAACAGAGATTGTATCTTTGTTATTCTCTTCCACCTCCTTCATTTCTCAGTTTATAGAAAGTTGTCAAGACCTCTTCACTCTCTTTTTTTCTTTTGAATTTTTATGAGTTATTTGGGCCAAACTGACATGACAGAAAGAAGATCTCAAATGTTCCTTCTTTTCTCTTGTCTTGGCCCTTTTGAAACTTTTATTTCAATCTAGAGCCTCATCACTTGCTCACTACCTAGAAAACCTTTTCTTCTTCCCATTGCTAATCTCTGCCCCTCATAATCCTGCTCACCTGGGAAAGACTTCCTACTTCAAATGCTTGTTCTTTCCCCCAAAACTATTAACTTCAACACTGTGAATTAGCCTGAGCTACAGTTTACAGTTGTTAAATTGTCTTGTCAGCGATTCACAACTTAATGCATGTGTGCACACTTGCACACCCACTGAAGGTAGGCTCTTTGAGGGTGGGTACAGCATTTTATTTTCTTTCATCATGTGGATAATAATCTGCATGTACTAGTTAAATAAATAATTTAAAAAAATTTGACTCTCCAGTGCCATGGGCAAATTACGCACCCATTCTTAAAGTGGGCACAAGTTTTCCTGCCACCTCTGGACCAAAAATTGTAAAGACAGCTGTCAGAGAACATGATATGTGAAAGCCTCACTCAAATATTGTACATGTACCCCTGGGAGACTTTAACAAATTTTTTGGTAACTTCTACTTGAGCCAAAATTTTGAGGACATGTCTGGAACCTCCGGGAGTCTTACTACCATTATCTTAGCCTGAAAGATCAATCTCATCCTGCTAATATGTACTTTTCCCTGCTAACTGACTTTAGTGCTGGACTAGCTGGTTCCATCCTGATGCTTAAGTAAATGAGTTTAAGAACTGCCTCAAAATTTGCTGCAAAGAAAACCTGACATTTCTGGCTGTGGCAAAGATGATCGAAAGTCCCAGTTAGCCCTGGCTGGTGTGTCTCAGTGGACTGCGCGCTGGCCTGTGGACGAAGTGTCACCAGTTCAGTTCCCTGCAAGGGCACATGCCTGGATTGTGGGCCAGGTCCCCAATTGGGGGTGTGTGAGAGTGGCAAGTGATCAAGAGATGTTTTTCTCACACATTGATACTTCCCTCCCTCTCTTTCTCCCTCCTTTTCTCTCTATAAAATAAATAAATAAAATATTAAAAAGAATAAAATCCCAGTTAGAAGCATTCTTGGAAGTTTGCATTCACATGATTCAGTTTTTTTTAAGATAAAAGACTTAAACATCTGATTTTCTTATGCACTAATTCTGTCTCCTGCAACTGCCATCTAAATTTAGGGTGAGATGTGTACTCTTACTTATTGTCATGTTCTGGACCATCTTTCATTCCCAGGAATGTGAGAGGTGAGAATTTTTCCAAAGGATTTCCTCTCCTTCTACAGTCGTATATAAGACAGGATCTTGAACAACTCTTTTCTTCTTTGTAGTAAGGTCCAGTGCTGGGAGACCTTTGCCTCTGGTGTTCACCCACTTCCTCTTAGCAGAACATTAGGACTGACAATGTGACAAAGGAGGAGGAGGAAGTTAGAGGTACAATGTTAGGTGTGTACCCTGGAGGGAGGAGTTTTTGTGAACTGTGATTTGTGTCTCAGAGACAATGAAGAGGAAAGGGAAGGGAGTCGAGGTGCAAGAAAATAAAAATTTAATGTGATTCCGGTGGGGGGCATCTCAGATAAGATTAGAAAGAATGTTTATTGGGGGGGCAAAAGGAAAATATGTATAAGTAGCTTTATTTGACATGTTAAATTACATGGGAAACATAATGAGATAAAAAATAATAAACTTTAGGTTATATATGTGTGAACAAGAGTTACTAATATAGGTAATTTAGAAATTGAAGTTCATAGAAATTTGTCAGTACTGTCATTGTCTAGTTGTTAAATTATTGTATGCCACGAAAATAACTAAATTTTCTTATAAATTAACTCATCATTTTTAACCATGGCCCTTTTTAAAAGCCTTTTAGTCACTTACAGATGGTTGCTGTGGTGAACTGATGCTTTTGCAAAAGTGCCTCAAATTCAGAGAGATTAATGGAAAGGACTCTGATAAGTAGTCTGGAATACAGAATTTCGGTAACTTTAAGATCACTTTAACTAAACTGGAAGGATTTCCAAAACTCTAATGGAAAAATTGGATTCAAGCAGAGAGAGAATAAATGACTTGGGATTAAATGAACTGATGAGAATGGTTATAAATTTTTGTTTGAAACACAGTTTTTTAATGTTTTGTTTCCAGGCTTAAGAAAAATTTTTTCTTTTTTATCTTAAGCTACATATGACTTATAGCAACTTGGTAAATTATACCTTTGTAAACAGAATTAAAACATTTATGATTTTTCTTCTTATCTCATCCCTTTGGAATTGTGAAACTTATGAAGTATTTTATTTTTATGAAATATAGTTGTTTGCACGAATTCAGTAAAAATCTACTTTTCTTATAACAGAACACAATTGTGAACGTTGGTTATATCACCAAGGCTTCGGAATATTATTTTTAAATGATGTGCATAAAATCTGATACGATCATATAGTTTCAAGATACTAAGGGTGATTTTATGGAACCAATGAAGTCTTTCGGAAGAATCTCCTGGTATCTTTCTTCCTGGGTCCCAATACTTGCTGGCAGCCCCAGGAATATCAGGATGATAGGGGACTCAGGAGTTGGAACATTTTATTTAGGTAATAGCTAATAAGCTTAGTAGTCAATGCACATAAAAGCTGTGGTTCCAGGAACTGAAGGTTATGACCCACCCTGACTCCAGGAGACTGTGAGCAGTTCCACTTTTGTGCCCCAGGAGGACTGCAAGCAATCAGGATGGTATCCGAGCCATTGTACTCCAAGGTGAGGAGATGACCACCGCCCAGGAAACAGCTAGAGACCACCGCCCAGGTCCAGAATGCTGCAGTTTTTTCAATCCAATGAACTTTTCCCTGAATTCCAACCCCCCTACCTACACTTTGTTCTCCTTATAAAAAGGGCCATTTTAAAGTGGAATGTAAAACAGTCCATTAGGGTATGAACCCACAGTCTTCTCAGATCGCCGCTGGCCATCTGAATAAAGCTCCCATAAAGATTCAATCCCATCTCTGCTTATTGGGTTCGCTATGTGACAGGCAGAATAATTACCAGCCTTTTCCAGTTTCAAAGATATTTTGGAACTTCAAGAAAGAAGAATTCACTCAAGTCTATAGGTATTTCGGGCAATATCTGGCAAGTCCTTGGCTTGGCTTCCTGGCCTCAATAGGCTTTTAAGTCCAATCTGGGCTAAAGTTCGGGCAAAGCAGACTTTTAAAAAGCCTCCATGTCAATCACTACTCTTGTACTTATTTAAATAATCAAGCCAAGAATAATAAGACTAGACTAATTTTGCTAACAGATTAATGTGATTATCTTTGCTAAACATGGGGTAATTTTAAAGAGAAAAATTATACTTCAGTAAAAAGCTATAACCTACCCTCAGGAGTATCAGATTCTTGTCCAATTCACAGTCTCTGAGGTTTTGTTATCTACCTGTAAACCTGACTGGATCCTGAATTTTTCTAGATTTTTAAAACATATGGCTGTAACTCTTCAAACTAATCTTTTCCACTTTTTCCCACTCTTTTGACTTGGAATCACTCATTAAGAAGAAAGATTGCCCCTGGCTGGTGTAGCTCAGTTCATTGAGCACAGGCCTGTGAACCAGAGGATTGCTGTTCGATTCCCAGTCAGGGCACATGCCTGGGTTGCAGGCTGGTTCCTTGCAGGTCAGTTCCCAGCAGGGGATGCATGAAAGGCAACCACACATTGATGTTTCTCTCCCTCTCTCCTTCCCCTCTAAAGATACATAAATAAATAAAATCTAAAAAAACCCCAACAACATAAAAAATTAAAATTAAAATTAAAAAAAAAAGAAGAAAGATTGCCCTTGAACCTCATTGAAAGGGATCATCCTGGATTCTCCTCACTGCCTAGACAACAGCCAAACTTCAAGGCCTGGACCTTTGGGTCCACATCTTCTAATTAAAAGGAGCTCCTGCAGACTCTTGGACCTGCACACCAGCTGGAGGTCTAAAATTAAAATGGACCAGGGAGGTTCTTCTCCAGAAGCAGAAGACATCTTGAAGTGGACAGCTCTTCCAAGGTCACTGATCAAGATCTTCATCTCCAACATGACACCTTTTATTCATTTTGCCTTTTTGGCTACTTGCTCTTTCTCTGTTAATGCTCGAGAAAATAGTGCTCCTTAACTCTGACAACTACCACTGAGTCGGCCACCAAGGCCATTGCTACACTACAGAAGTTTCTAGGCTTTGTTCTTAGGGTGGTTTTAGATAATAAAATTGCTTTAAATTCTTACTGAACAAGCAGAAGTCTGTGCCATGGCAAGTACGGTACGGTACGTGGATCTACATCTCAGGTTCCATAGTAAATCCAAGAAATTAAGCCATTTAGCTGAAACAGGATGATACCCCTTCAGGTACATTATTTTGAATGCACCGGTTTGGCCCATGTGGACCTTGGGCATGCTTCCGTCTCTTGGTGTTAGGCTCCTCATAGCCTTCACTGCGGTCTCCCTGGTATACTGTGTTCTCTCTAGGTCCTTAAATAACATGTTTGCAGGTATCAGCAGTACATCAAATGGTCTCACTGTGCTTGGAGAAAGAGAAACAAAGTGAACCATGAAGTGAACAGTGAAAACAACTCTTCCAAAAATCTGGTGTTAACACCTCCAAGTTGCATGAGTTTCACAACGAGACAAGAATAGCTTAATCACCATGGTGACTGAGAGTGATCAATGCCAGTGCCAAAATTCTGGTCACTCTTCCACGTATGAGAAGATGGTAAAAAGGGGAGGATTGTTAGTCAT